ACAGACAAAATGTGGGATCCATAAGGAATGTAAATAAGCATTTATTTAGAAAATTGTCCCAAATATCCATGACTTGTGCTCTCTGAGTGCCAAACTGGTCACTTCACTTAAACATGATGCTGCAGAATTAATAGAATGAACAGCAAAAATAGGTAAGAATTTAAAAAACTGTAAAATTGTTAAATCAAAAGGAGGTAATAAAAACCACAAAATACAAAAGAGGTTATAAGTTTCTGTTGCTTTTGCCTCTTAACACTAGGTGAGAATTCTTAATTAAAGCCCAGCCTGTTAAATGTTCTCCAAGGAAGTATTTTTCACAGAATAAATAATTAGACTGTATGGTCTATACGGTCTATAGCATCGCCAAAACCACAAAATACGCAACAATTTATGCTAGACATTTTTGCAAGCATACCCAGAATCCTAGCAATCAGTGTTATTGGCTGGAATAGAAAGTGCCATTTCCAGCCAATTTTTAATCACTAAGAACTGCAGTAGGCTTTCCAGGACAGCAGATGTGCCTATGGCAGCTTCCTCCCTATCAAGATGACCACTTTCAGAAGATGCATCTTCAACAAAAAGTACTTGATTCAGCACCTGATTCAGAAGCTGTAAGCAGAGTTCTGTAGTTTAGGTGTCCTGGATGACAAAGCTTCTGTTGTAGCTAAAGGAGTTAGTTAATAATCAGTGGAGTCTATACTGAATAGAGCAATTACAGGAATCTACCTTGAAGAACTGTTTTATCCTAAATACATAATTTTGGGGTCTATAAACCCATGGTTGCATCCCACCCTGAAGTTAGGGCAAGCCGAATCCCCATCCTGAGTATCATTAGCATGTTAATTTTCGTATTCCTAGAAAGTACATTCCTTGTTACTCTCAGATTCAATTCAATAACAGAATTAATATAGCCAGAATTTTCACTTTTCTGAATATACGTATAGTAAAAACCTGACTGTCCATGGCTTTGTGTAATTTTTAGATGCACAAGAAGTTGGTCTAACCCACATCAAATGCCTAAAGCCAGCTATACAAAGCAATGCTTCAAAGCTAGTACTTCTACCCTAAAATTATTTACATTATTTATATCACATTTACCACTAAAAACCTGAGAAATTAATTAAATGTTTCAAACATCAGTTTGGATGGATCAAAAACAGGTGCTGCCACACAATGCCTGAGCATTTGACATGATACTCTAAAGCAGATTTATAATAACCCAGGGCATTGTGTATGCCCATGTGGCTCAATAACTGAAAGACAGCATGGTTAACACCACAGATTTATGGCATGCATCCATTCTTTGTCATCAAAAGCAAGGCAGAAGTAGAAACCTAAGCCAAAAGTTAACCTGTCAAAATCTCCTTTTAAATTGCAATTCATAAGCACCTTTTTTGCCCTAAAGAACTTCATTAATTGAATATGCCTGTTCAAGAATAATTTTTAAATCATATTTTAAAATCCAATCTCTTATACCTAGTAGAACAAAAGCACATCACCAGTGCTCCACATGCCCATGCTTGCATGCTGAAGAGCGCCATTCAGCTTCATTCAATCTCAAGTCTTGTTTTGAGAACAATAAAGAGATTTTTCTAATTGCACTTGATATTTCAACATGCCATCTTCCATCTCTACAAGCCAAGGAACGTAAGGAATTACAGCTCTCAGTAGAATTGGTCACTGCTCCATATGCTTGCGTGCAGTAAGGATGAGAGACTGATTCATCTCCAAAGTCTCCCCAAACAGGTAACATGCTGTGCAACTACATTCCTCTGGTTGTGCCAAGACAACAGAAAAAGCCCTCTGAGGCAGAAGCAAAGTGCTGTGGAAAAAACATTCAGCAGAGTACTCAACACCATTATGAGGATCAGTGCCCCCCCATGCTGCTGAACTGCAGGGATGGGGTGAGGAAAAGCCCCTGTGGGCTCCTGATGTGGCTGGTGGAGAGGGTGGTGCACATCTTCTATGGCCTGAATTGGCTTCTTCTCTCTCTTCATGCAGACTTAGGAGACTAGCACTTACCAAGCGAGTAGGAAGAATCTGGCCTTGAGGATCTCATATAAAGACTCTGAAGTCAAGGGAGACCTTTCCTTGGTTGTTTTTATCTTTGCCTCTAAATAAGAATGGTCAGAACTGCAAAATGCCTATAATCTATTACAAGGCACCCTAGTGGAAGCTTGTGCACGAGGAACTATTCGCTAGAAGTGAGTTGGTTGTTCAGTGAGAAGTAGTATCATCAGCAATAAAGAAAAAAATTGAAACAGATGAGCTGGTTTAAGTTTAGCAGCTTCTCATTTCAATTAGCAGATATTTATTTACCTCAACTTTTCCCTTTACCTCAATTTGTTTGTAGTAAGAAAGGAAAAGTAATTCTGGTGAATAAACAGTGATATTTAGTTACATAAAATATTCTGCAAGTACACTACAAATAAACTCAACCTTAAATCTGTGTGCTGTGACTAATTTTAGGACTTGAATTTTAGCCAAAAAAAGAGCATGGAAAATCCTGACATGCACACCTCTCTCTCCAAAGAGACAAACTAGAAAGGGCAAACAGTGATATCTACAAGCTGGAGGTGGAAGATTGAGGGAAGGCGAAGGATTTAGCTGAAATGACAAAAGGATTTTGGGGGAAAAAAAAAAAATAAATAATGTAAATCTTTAAAGGTGTGTTTTCCTGGCAAAAAATGGACATTTGGTGTATATTCCATCTACATAATTTTGTGTAAAAATATTCCCTAACGGGACAAGGAAATGAGAGGAGTATATTAACTGGAGAAAGCTAAAGTTAAATGTTTAATTTTTGCCTTTTTAACAAAGGAAATGATAACAGACCACTTAGAACATAAAGAAAAAAATAATTTTAAGAAAAGCTGGATTATATTTTTTAAGATGGAAGGGGGAAAAAAGGCAAAAAGAAATGTTTCTTTTTATTTATAAGGAGCATTGCTGGAAAGCTAACCACTCACCCACCCCCAATCCCTGACTTTAAACCAGTGCAGGCAAGGCCGGAGATGTCTTACTTCACTGAGCTGTGTTGCTGGGAGACTGGGTTAGGCAAACACAAAGAAAAAAGCCAAAAGATTAAGTGAGATGATGGGTGTTGCCATATTTCACAGGCAAATCAGGTGATGCTTCAATCCAGGAGAACTATAAATCATTCAAAATGAATTTGAAAACTCCTGAGAGAAAACACTGTTTGCCCTAATTTACCCAGGATATGAAAATAAATAGTGTCTCCAAAGCTGTTAAAGCTGTAGCCCCTGAGATTTCTTTTTTCACTACTGTCTTCCCCAGAAGTCTTGATTCAAGATACAAAACATGCTTTTGGTGAAAAATGATATACTGAGTGGCCCTAAAGGATAAAGGATTATAAAGGACACCAAACACCAAACATTGTAAGGAAAAACAAAAAAAAAAAGAAAGAAAGTAACAAAACCACGCCACTTCTCTATCCACCAAGATCATAAAATCACAGAATATCTCAAGTCGGAAGGGACCCATCGAATCCAATTCTCCTCTCATTGCACGACTACCTAAAACTAAATCATATGAGTAGGAACATTGTCCAGATACTCCCTGAACTCTTAACAGGCTTGGTGCCATGATCACTTCCCTGGGGACCCTGTTCCAGTGACCAACCACCCTCTCAGTGAAGAACTTTCCCTGAACTTCCAACCTGAACTTCCCCTGGCACAGCTTCAATCCATTCCCTCGTGTTCTATTGCTGGTCACCAGAGGAAGATCAGCACCTTCGCCTATGTTGCTCCTCTTGAGGAAGTTGTAGACTGCCACGAGGTCACCCGTCAGCATTTTCTTCTCCAAGCTGAACAAGCCAAGTGACCTCAGCTGGTCTTCATAAATCATGCCCTCAAGATTCACCATCTTGGTCACCCTCCTCATAGATTGATGTTTTTACATTGAGGTGCCCAGAACTGCACACAGTTTTTGAGGTACAGCTACACCAGTGGTGTAGAGTGGGAAAATTACCTCCCTCAACCAGCTCGCTATGCTGCGCTTGATGCACTCCAGGACACGGTTAGCCCTTCTGGCTGCAAGGACACACTGTTGACTCATATTTAACTTGCCATCAACCCAAACCCCCAGATCTGTTTCCACAGAGCTGCTCTCCAGCCTCTCATTCCCCAGTTTGTATGTATAACCAGGGTTACCCTGTCCCAGGTGGAGAATCCAGCATTTGGGAAATCAGCATTTTAATAGAGAATAACGGATCTGCAGGTTAAGAAAAATGATGGCTTTGCAGACAGCAGGAGAACTCAAGACCTTCAGAAGGACAACTTTACCCACAATCTTCCTCATTGCTAGTTCTTGTTCACAAAATTTACTTTTCCAGAAGTTAAGAATCAGCAGAGGAACTGTGTCAGATGTTATCACTTAGTTCCAAAAAAGCAATTCAACAATGAATGGCAAGACCTGTGTACAAAACGCGCATGTGAACTTAATGAAACAGGGATTTTTGAACACTCTTTGTGTCTTATACCAGTATCAAAATCAAGGTACAACCGTGAAGACAGCTTTTCCATGTGAATTGGAAACATACAGGGATATGACCAGCAATGCAAAAAAAAAAAAATACACTTCAACATGACAGAAAACAAAAAAGTATAAGAAATAAAAACAATAACACAAATATGTTTGGATCAATTCAGCATGCCACCTCAAAAAGAAACTACAGCCTAAGACTAAGCTTTACTAATATGTACTAATGAAGTACTAGCACTGAATTTTGCTGTATTTTTAATGCCTTATATCATCATCTTCTGAAGCAACATACTAGTTATCTAACATACTAATTTCTGCTAAAAAATAAAATCACAGAAACAAAATTATCAATAGCTGATGTTACGTTATACCATTACTAATTAAAGGACACTTTATTTCCAAATAGAGGAAAATAAGAAGCAATTCAGAGGAATCTTGATTTTCTCAGTAACAGCCTATCCACAGTTTTTGAGACCAATATGAAAATAGTTCCATACCGTGAAGCTGTTGTTGACATTCTTTGTGCTTGATTCAGCTACGCTGGCATCTGACAGGTCAACTTCATCAAATATTAGAGACTGCAAATGGAAAAGAACATAAAAATACTAAATATAGTCTGAGGCCACTTTCAGATACGCTTACAGTGTGTGCTTTCATTTCCTTGTGTCCATTCCAATTGGAAAATAAAAACAGAAAAAAAAAGTGGTGAAATAAAAGTTGAAATTGTTTGTTAGTGTCTAAGTAATGAACTGAAGTTTGTGGTAATTGAATTGTGCATCTAATGGACAGTACAAATATACTCTTAGAGGAAAAATGCAGTTATATACTGGGGAAAATAACATTAAAATATTGTCCCTTATTTCACGGGTGCTTATCTCCTGTTTCTGTGCAAGAAACATGATAATCAAGAAAACCAGATGTGCTATCATCTTTTTAAGTTTCATCCTGGAAATGAGGTTGGAATATTCCGTGAGGAAATCAATGCCATTTTCCTACTCTCTTCTGTCTCTCTAAGAAATGACCTGCCTAAGTCCTTTAGTGACACAGTTTAGTGGTTGACTTTCAGTCCTGGAGTAAAGGTTTTCCAACCTAAATGATTGTATGATTCTATACATAAAATGAAAACAGAAAACACTGATGTGATAAAACTTCTTATTCGACCCCTAAACACAGCCCTATTTGCTACCTAAGCAGAACATGAGAACATAAAAAAGTGGCTCCAAAAATATGTATTGCTTTAAAATCTCTTTTAAAGGTATTTCTTTTAATAGATGCAGCCTTGGGGTGTCTACTATGTAGCATGAATACGGTGTCAGAGGAAAGAGACTCACACTTAGTAAAATACAAATTAATTAATCAGTTTTAGGATGAAACTCTAAATTCATGAAGGGGACTCTATGATACGGTATCTATAAGACAAAAGGGCCTGAAGAGATCCTTTGTTTGATGTGTCAGCAAGAAAAATGTGTCTTCTTTAAACACCCCAGCCTCTGGCAAAGGATTAATTAGGTTCTGTTAAACTCATGCTGGGTTTTGAAGCATGGAAGGGAAGGCCAACAAAATGCCTCCCCCTTTTATGTAGCCATACCATGTTCTTCCATGGGAAGGAGAATCAATGCTAGGGGAGTTTCAGCATATCTGGACTCAGTGTTACAGAGTATTTGTACATCTGCCTTCTCATTACACCCACTTTTCTCATCTTCATGGCACAGATGATGTTGCCATTCTTAGAGCTCTTATATGACATGTTTATTAAGTCTATGTATAATGTTTGTGGTAGTACCATCTGCAGAGAAGTGCAGCAACAGAGGTACTTCAGTGGTGGGTTCCCAGGAAAGACAACGCTTTCCTTGGTTCAACACAGCCACACAACTGTGCACCATGCATTACAGTCATACAGTCCTAGAAGGAGAGGTGTCCATGCCCTAGTAAGAGTTTTATTGAGAAGACCAGGCTGTAGAAGATGACAAAGACCTGAAGTACCTCACCTCTTGCTCTCCACAGAGTTAAGAAAAGTAATGCCCGCCACTATGGAACAGCACTATCTGAGCCAGGCCAATGAGCCAAAATGCTCTCAGTCCTGGCCCTGAGCAGGAGGGAGGAAATGTCTTTCAGAAAGAAGTATTCCCCTCTGCCCACCCCCAATTTTCCCACCAAAAATTTCAATTAATGGGAAACAGCTTTTTCCCTTGTATATCAGTTTTGGTAGAAAATCTTCCTATCTTGATTTCACATAATCATTTCTGCCTCTTTAATGGCAATACGGGCATCAGATCAGAAGAGTTTTAATGAAATTCAGTTTGAAGGATAGCTCCTGAGCATCATCCAATTTTTACGCGCGTTTTTTTTAAACATTAGATTTGACTGCCTGAGACACACCCCCCAAAAAACCCCCACAACTCCTTAAGATGAATTTATTATTTGTCTGAATAGTCATAAAGGTTGAAATATTAAAATTAGTGATAAACTTCATTAAAAAATATCAAGAGAAATCACCAGTCTTCTTTAGCTAAATACACTACATCTTATATACAGCAGTTTTTAAATAGAACAATCACTAAAAATCATTACATTATTATTATATATAATTATTATTATTATTGCACTCCTAAATCTAAACAAAATTGGAATTACAAGTATACGGCATTAGACACCAATAAATACCATAGAATTACCTTTGAATCCTTAGCATAGTAAAGGGTACGCCCTCGAAGTTTGAAGTAACGCTTTTTCCACCTCTGAAAAGAACTGGTTTGCTTCAGTAGTAATCCTTCTTTTATACTTGTCTGAAAAATATTAAAATACAGAAGACCACGTCAATAAATATCTTAATAGGTACACATACAGATGAAAGTTACACCTTTTAAAAATTTATGTTACACTTCATATAACTGTGAATTTAAACTTCTCTCTACTCACATAAAATCGAGACTAATTCTCTGTCAATCAGACTTTGCACTGCTATTTTTCAAACAATGAAAATATTGGCAAAATGCTAATTTTACATGTAAACTGAAAAAGCAGTCAAGAGGCATATAATTACTCTGAAGATGAACACAAAATCATTCCATTGTCTGGACAGATGCAAACCCACAAATATTAAAGTGAGCAATAACTGATGGTGGCATAATTCAGAAAAAAAAGTACTAAAAACCACCCACACAAGGTCATTTCCAGTTCCAAATTTGATTATGTTGACGAGAAAAACAACTTCCACAGAAGCACTAATTCAACAAGGTACTTAAATGTGTGTCTGATTCAAGCACATAAATTATGCCTTTAAAATAGAGGGAATGATCCACTATGATGCAAGCCACGCATGACTTCAAGTGCGTTGGTGAACTGAAGCCTGCAGCATGAAACCAGCTTAACATTAGGAATAATTATTATATGGAAAGTGTGAGAACAGTAACAGCTAGGGATATTTTTACCAGGGAAATATTTTGCTGATCCAAACCTTTCCACTGCAGACTCAACCCTGCCTACATAAACTCCATTTTTTTAAATCAATGTGACACAAATTAGTGTATTTTAAACATGTATGCTGCTTTTGCCAGTTTGTGGGGGATTCATCCAACCTGTTACAGAAATTCTCCACTTAATCAGATGAAATGACATGACACAGCATACTAATTGCATGAAATTAACTTTCTTCAGCTTTGAAGCACACAAAGGGTATAAGAAAAAGCAAGTGTATCTGAATATTACGAGGAGGAGGAGGAGGCTGGTCTCTTCTCCCAAGAAACAAATGATAGGACCAGAGGCAATGGCCTCAAGCTGCACCAGGAGAGGTTTAGACTGAATATTAGGAAAAATTTCTTCACTGAGAGGGTGCTCAGGCATTGGAACAGGCTGCCCAGGGCAGTGGTGGAGTCACCGTCCCTGGAAGTGTTCAAAAAACGTGTAAATGAGATCTTTAGTGACATGGTTTAGTGGTGGACTTTGCAGTCTTGGGGTAATGGTTGGACTTGATGATCTTAAAGGTCTTTTCCAAGCTAGCTGATTCTATGATTAAATTCCAAAATGGCCTCTAATATTTCCAGAATATTTCCAATTTGTAGTGTAATAACATGATGCTACTCTTCACACAATTTCTAGACAATGTGATATAAGCATCAGTTGAAGTTACTCTAGAGCTTTTGGAGACTTAACCAAGACCTGACCTAAAGTTCATGAACATCTTCTGTTATCAGATGTCAAACTCTCCTTTACACAAGTGATAAAAATACAGAAAAAGCAGAAAGCACTCTCATGTTCCTACCATTTCCCTGAAATAAGAAACATTGCTGTTATGCACATACATTGCAGCCTTCATTTAGACATTCCTAACATCACAAACTAAGAATATGGTCCAACGATCATACGGCAATTGAATTAATGCTCTCAAAAAAGCAACCCTGTCAGACAAAATATCGCAGCTGAAAGTTTGGATTTATCTCATTTCAGACACTAACAATCTGGACCAATGTATTGGGTCAGCCCTCCTGCTCTAGCTAAGCGGCAGCAATTCCCAGCTGAAAGTGTCTGCTCACCACAACCATTTTAAGACTGCTTGCAATTTTCTGACCAGACCCTAAGCTTATTGTCTATGATATAAATAGATTTACTCAATTACCAAATACAAGCACTTATTCAAAGCTGTTGGTTGTAGCTGTGCAGCACTTCTGTTTCATATCGCCCTCTGAGGTTTACGATGCTCATCATATGGAATGGGAGCAGATGCCTTGTGTGTTTATCAAAGATCAGAAGATGTAGGACTGGAGAAATTCAGTTCTAAAGGAACAGTAGCCCAAATACACAGCAAGCCCAGACTTACTGGAAAAAACTCCAAAATGGAAGGAAATTCATGTTCCCTGAAACACACTATGCATACTAGGAAACAAGAGTATTCATCATGCAGGCTATTTTCAGGAATTTTTAAATGTGTTCAAAGAACATAAATCTCCCTAAACCTTGAGCTCTGACTCACTAAAGAATTAACTCTTTCATGTCATTTTTATGTCTGCAAAAGCCATTTCCCCCTATTTCTACTCACCCCTTAAAATACCAGTCCCAAAATCAAACCAGTAATATCAAAATTAAATCTATTTTGAAAATAAGCCATTTAAAATTAGCTCCCTAAAGCCAGCAGTAAATAGCTATGTAGGCTTTATAGAATGTAAAGTTTACATTTTACCACTAACAGATACGCTAGGCTGAGGCTTGAGCACCATAAATAGACAATTCCATGGCTGCAGGCATCAAAAACTGAGCATAAAGTATTGGCCCAATATCCTTAATTAACTTCATTTAGCCTTTAAAATGTGCAAAAAACCTTCCAGCTGCCAACTGAGTCATTAGGTAATCTGCTAATAATGCTTTCCTGAATCTACACACAAGTCAGAGCACTTACAGTAATTTGAGATTGGAAGGGGCCTCTCAGGTTGTTGGATTTGGGTCCACATTATCGCCTACAACCAGGTCATGTAAAGTTTTCCAAAAGTGTATTTTCAGGCTATAGCTACATCTTAAGAAAGACCTTTTCCTCTCCCAACAGCAACTAAAACAGTGCTCTGAGACCTAGCTGTTCTGAGAAACTTTCTTCTAATTAATCTCAGCTGGACATTGAATCTGAAGCATAAGCAATAATCACTGCCAGTTATATTAACTACTTTCCTACTGTAATGTGGGTGAAACAAGAAGTGCACATTGCATGATCCCGTGTTACTTCTCACTCTCACATAACCACCTCTTATCTGCTTACCAAAACTTCTGACTTCCCCATACAGCATCTTGTATCATCTAGTAATACAACATTCCTCCAGAAGTATGGGCCTATAAAAATGATAGGGTAGGGTAGGGTAGGGTAAGGTACGGTACAGTATGGTATGTACGGTATGGTACAGTACAGTACAGCACAGCACAGCAGAACAGAACAATTAAGATAGAATCCCTAACAATCTTTACTACCTCAGCCGTTAACAATTACGAATGCGATTCACAATATTACAATCACAACATCACAGTGCTCCACAGTGGTATATATTCCTGAAGAAATCTAATTATAAAAATCATCACCACATTCCATAAAATTAAGGTGTACATGTGTGATCAATTATCCAAGAACGCTGAATGTAACTCTACATCGCCATGATCTAAATGACAAAAATAAATGGGATTAAGATACATTAAGTATATAGCAGTTGAAAATTCAAACTTCACATTTTTCATTTCAAAGACAACCAACCCCAATGCCTTCACTCAGTTTGTAAAGTCTCACATTTGCACATTTGATTTTTTAGTTGCTGCTGCTGCTAGGAAGACCCAAATATGGAAGAAAATATTCTGAACTGAGGAAACATTAAACTGACTATGGATGCATTATTGGCAACTGCAAGCTAAAACACTGAATGATTACAGATAGAACTCTCCTCCCTACTCCTTTTCAGGTATGTAAGTGGACATGCTGCTCAAAATGTGTCAAGTAAGTGAAGAAAAGAACATCAGGAAATTTCTGAAAGTGAAGAGAATGAAAATGAGAAGAGGATAGGCCATAAAACAGGGCAGGTCAAACTTAAACAGGAAATTAAGAGGGTGAAGAAGAATTTAAGATCACACTGCAACAGATGCTCATGCTGAGACTAAAATGTTCCTTAAGTACTTTGAAAGATGAAAGACAGTTAGGGGGTTGGTAGGATCATTTTTCAACAGAGGTGTGAAAAGGATACTCAAGGATGAGAAGGTCACAGTGAAGAAGCTCATCAAATTCTTGGCATCTGTCTTTACCAATGAAGACGATGAGACGGTATCTCACACGCCATGTTCTTTGTAACATCTTCATCAACATGAAGCACATATACAGGAAGTACTAGACCAGCCAAATCCCTAAGTCACGTGGACCAGAGGGACTGACCTGAGAGCCTTAAAAAGACCACTGTTACTAACTTCCAATCTGCTAAGACAGTAAAGTCCACACAAAAGGATAATATTGCTGAGCCCATACATATCCAGTGGGAAAAAGTCAACCGAGCTTTTGTAAAGGAAAATACTGCCTTGCTACCTGCAGTGATTTCAGGGGGTGGAGGGAAAAGCATGTGGATAAATGAAAATCCAGTGGACAAAGGCTTCCCACAAATGACTACTGAAGAAATTAAGTTAGAAAGGAATGGGATAAAGGGGCTTTTTGTGGACTTAGAGTTGTGCAAGGGATAGGAAGCACAAGTAGACCTTAACAGTCACTCTTTCTTCTGGATTCCCAAGGAATCAGCTTTATTCAAATTCAATGACCCAAAGAAGGATCACACAATGGAATCTTCAGACTTGCAGAAGATACTAAGCTCTTCTGAGTCCATGCCAATAGTGAGGAACATAAAGGAGGTTAGAAATCTGAGCAGGAGGGCCAAGAGGAAGAAGATGAGCTTCAGCCCAAGTAAATGTAAGATGCTCTGCTTAAGGAAAAAATCTAAACCTCACATTCCCACATTAACTTTGAGTGGCAAAAAGATCTAGGAGTCACAGTCCTCTGAGCTCAAGCACAGTCAGAAAAGCCATAAAACTTTGGCTGTCACCAAGTAACAAAACCAAGACAGAGGGTATCATTTAGCTGCTATATAAAATACTGGTGTACCAGACAGTTCTGCTCTCTCCAACTCAAAACCCAGGGTTAACAAAAGGGACAGAGAAGGGCAACTCAGATGATTCAGAGGATAGAGAAGCTGCCTTGTATGTACAAAAGACAAAAAGGCTCAGTCGAGGAGTAGAAGACTAAGGGGGTAATATGGTTAAAGTTTATAAAAGCATTAAAGCAGAGTACAGTGCATGCAGAACTATTGCTCAACAAATCCCACAGTCATAGAGTTACAGGATCATAGAATGGTTTGAGTTGGAAGGGACCTTGGAGATCATCTAGTTCCATTCCCACTGCCATAGGCAGGGGCAGTTTTCACTAGACCAGGTTACTCAAAGCCAAATCCAGTCTGGCCTTGAATACTGTAAGAAGAAAGAATGTGATAAAACTATATTGAGATCAGCCTAACAAAAACAAAACAAAAAAAAACCAACCAAACAAACAAACAAAAAAAAAGCAGCGCATCTTTACATAGCAGGTAGTGATTTTATGAAGCTTGCTGCCACAAAGTATTGTAGAGGCAGACAGCATCACCAAGTACAATAATAGGATTAGACAAACTCAAAACCACCACCACTGTATGTGGTCTCTTTAATCCACCATGAGGAAGTACCAGGGGAAAGGACTGCAGCCAAGCTCACGTGCTGCTCCTGAAAAGCCTTTCCTATTCCACTACTGAAAACGGATTATTGTCTGACCCAGGAAATAATTCTACAACTTGGATTTTTCCGGCTGTGTGACAGTATCTCTTTTGCTTCAACGTCTGATGTTTGTAAGTGGACCTAGGCCTGTGTTTACCAAAATAATTCATATTTGGACTGTTGACAGACGAGGTCATTAAATCAAAAAGAAACAACAACATTCCATATTGTCCTCCTGTGACGCCTCCTATTCATATGACTTTGCAAAGTTGACTGTTGAAATACAATCAACCCTCTTCTTTTTAAGTATTGTGAAGAGTTTAGTACACTTTCACCATCTGCGCAGGCATGGCTTTAGGCAGACAGAGTCTTCATTACATTACAAGGTAAAGTATCACAGCTCATATTAACTCAGAGACCCTTAAAATATTCCATGTGTTCAGCAGATCAAAAATTACTTTTATTATTAAAAGATGTGACAATCAATATCTGAATTTTGATTAAAATTATGACCCAGGAATTCCAAGCTTGTGATTTTCCTGACAACCTCTGTACAGCAGCTTCCATTACTGTCACTATGCTGACAGATTTTTCATTAGTTATGTCAAAATAAAAATAGATTTTTATCAGCCAAGAATAAAAACTTCATCAGCTGCTCAGTGCAAGGTTACATTTGTATTGAAGATCCCTGATCACAGTGAGGGGAGCATGACACCTGAAAATTAAAACCAAACCAAGAACTACATTATATCTATGATTTCGTACAGCTAAAAATGGTAAAAATAGAATTGAAAATCAGTATGATTATGTTGACTATATAACACTGCTTTTATTTCAAGAACTGATCACACAGTGGAACATGTGGGGCTGTATCATGGAGTACCTTATTTGCCTCAATAAAGATGCCCGAGACTGGCGCTGCTGACACGTCCTCCAGATTACATTAGTGACAGAGAAATCAGGCAAGTTGCATATGCTCAGTCTGTTACTGTTGATGACAGTTATCCCTGTCCCATTAAAGAATAAAAGAGTCTGGCTATCTTTAAGAAAACTCCTTCCAAAATCTCAGTGAAAGCCAGCCACACTCCCCCCACCTCCCCACCACAACACTAACCTGTGATTAGGCATCCCCGTTTTTGTGTAATAATAAAACAGTAAGTTCTTCCAAAGCTATTGTTATATTCTGTGTTTTTGGAATCATTTATGTGGATGGATTCTAGCCTAAATGAAACCGTAGTACAAATAAATGCAAGTATGCAGCTTATGCCATGCCCTTTTTCCTCAGTCCTGTTCCCCCTACATGTTCCCTTCCAGACTCTGCAGAGGAAACAGATTTTGCACCACTGTTGTTAAAAAATAATAATAAAAGAAGAATAGTTTTCAGCTTCCTTTACTTGGAATATATGGTTGTGTAGTAAAATATGAAGTAAATATGAAATTGCAGTGAAATTGACATAATAAAAACATCTTAGTAGCAAGGTGAAGTTCAATTAGCAGATTGATTTAAATATAGAGGTTATAGCACACATCAAAAATGAATGAGTTATTGCCATATTAAGATGAAACATTGCACTTGGAATTAAAAAACAAACAAACAAACAAAACTATTGTAGGTATAAAATCGTACTAGATTTACAATTGGAGAAGAAACTTTATCTGCAGTTCAAGTATTTAAACTCCTAAATTCCACCCATGTACATGTTGATCTCACTCTGCATTCTCATTAATCAGGGCATGAAAGAGTTGTAATACACTGAAAAAGGATTAAACACTTCATAGAACTGTGACTTAGTGACAAAGATTTAAGGGTCTTGGCGTCATTACACAACTCAGCTAACGAAGTCTTAGAGTAGTATTTTAAAGCTACCGTTTGGAGCTTCAATAGCTGTTGGTTTTAAATTATACAGAGAGATTTAAAACAACTAAGTCTAACTGATTTTGAGACAGAAGAATATAAATGGTATGCATTTCAGGAAGAAAAAAAATGGAAAAAAACCCAAACCCAAAACCCATAGTAAACAGTCAAAGCACACAGCTGGCAAGATTTTTTTCCTTTACCAGAGTTATTTAGGTCTTGGTCTCAACTAAGTAGGAGGAGCACTCAACACACTTGCCAGTCTGTAAAGCAGATGCAGCATAGGTCCAAAACAAACTATTTTCTCCACCTCACACAGCAAAATGGAAAAAAAAATCCTATTATATTTCCAAAGAAAAGAGCAAACTCTTCCTCTAGTTCTGTCCAGTGTTAACATGCAAATAACAGTTGATCAGTCAGTTGAGGGAATCACAAAATCATATAACAAAAAAAATATTAAACACCGCTACAAACTTTGAAGCAATCCTTTCTTGAAAACAAATCTAAGTTAAGCTTGTCATAACAAATCTTCTGTGTTTTACTTCTTGTAGTTTTAGGTTTTGCCCCTCTGAGAATGTTTAAACAAATTCCAGTGATGCTGTCAGAATCCCTAGGAGCTACGCTGGGCAGAAAGGAGCCTATGCAGAGCCATTTAGAGCCTGTGACTCTCCAGGGAAAGCTGGGGAACAACTCCTTTCCTTCTTGCAGGCTTTTTCCATACCTCTACTTGACTTCCACTGATCAAGTTATGAAAGCAAAAGCTTTTAGCAAATGAATTCACACAAGGCCAGGAAGAGTTGTAGGATAAAACAGAACAGTTCGGTTGGAAGGGACCTACAACCACCATCTAGTCCAAAACATACACATTGTAAACATACAATATTAGGAAACCTCAGTATCACACAAATGTGTTTTAAAAGAATAAGTTCTTAGAATCTTTGTATTTATTCACTTATTTGAAGAGATTAAAACTGTAAAAATACCATGTCATCCATTCACTGCTTAACCTTTTCTAAACTACTAGCTGTTTTTAGAGAGTGATTGGTCATTGCAGCTGGTATCTTACACAAAACTCAGGTCTATAGAGACAAATAGACACCAATTTCACAGATAGTCCTGTGATCTGCAGATTCCTTATACGTTTAGAATTACAGAGAAGTTTATTAACTGAATACCCAAGCATTCCTGAATTCTTAAAGTGTTCCGAATTGCTGCAGATACAGAGACTACATGCTTTCATCTAATTCAGTGGCTGCACTCCATTGCAAGTTTATATTGGCCCCAATTTTGTTTTACTGGATGGCACATAAAATCCTGGATACACATTAATCATGTCTTGAATTACATTTTCTAGTATTTTTCCACTAACAGTCTTAGCTTAATACTCTACTTCTCGAATAGTTAAATCAAGAAAACCTTTAATTCCACAATAACTCAAAAGCAAGATTCTCTTGCTTACCTATACAACTATTGAGGCACGAAGAGACCACTTATATTTCCCGCTACTGAAAAATTGATCTTTGAGTGAGAAGGCTGCTAAAATTATACTAGTGAAATACACAAAAAAAGGAAAAAAAAAAAGCAAAGTACATCAAGAAGCACTTAGAAGAGCTATATTAGAGCACTATCTGTACTACACTATCTGTACTACAGATAGTACCAGTACTACAGGTAGTGAAAAAGCCTGTTGATTATCATAAAAATTATTTAGAGAAGGCAGAAATACAGGATAGGCACACCATAGATTGGATATTTGTTCCCAGTTTGACCACATGTTTTATGTGTGACCTGGGAAATATCAGCTACTGCTTGTTCTTTGGTCTCCACGCTGCAAAAAATACCTTCTTTATTCTTCTCTGCAAGAGTCTGGTTGTGAGTTGTTAGCATTTTATTGAATGTCTCACTAGAAGTGGCATTTAATTTTAACCAAATTTTTTCTTCAATTTCTTTTTGGATGATAGGGACTTCAGAAGTATTTAAAGTGGGACTAAAAAATTCACAATCCCTATCCTTTATTATCAGAATAATAGGGAAAAAAATGTGGAAAAGCACATTACTGCAAACAAAGCTGCAGGATAAAAAGTTGCATTTTGAGACAAGGGATAACACAGATCTTCTTTAATACTCGCACTTTGTAACTAATACTGGTACTGTAGGTTCAGCTTACATATAAATTCGCAATTTAGGAGCACAGTTGTTGCTCCAGTCACAAAACAGTTGAGGTTGGAAGGGGCCTCTGGAGATCCACCTAGTCCATCCCCCTTCACAAAGCAGTCACGTAGGGCAGTTCACCCAAGACTACATCCAGCTGAGTTTTGAGAATCTCCAAAGATGGAGACTCCACAACCTCCCTGGACAGCCTGTGCCAGTGTTTGAACACCCTCAGAAGGTCCAGTGGACTTGTGTACATACAGTCTAAAGGTTTCCAAACTTGATCCTCCACCTATGGTCTTGCTTGCTCCTGACCTTCCCACTGGTCTCAGGGACCTGGGATTGGAGAAAGCTGGTCTTACCAATAAAGACTAAGACGAAGAAGGCATTGAGTATTTTGGCATGCTCCATATCCTTTGTCACTGGGTCTCCTTCATTTAGCAGAAGGCACAAGTTTGCCCTAGTCTTCCTTTTTCTGCTGATGTACCTCTAGAAGACCTTCCTGTTGGCCTTCACAACCCTTGCTAGATTCAATTCAGGTGGGCTTTGGCTTTCCTAAGCCCATCCCTGCATGACAGTTCCTCTCAATCCCTTCTGGGTCACCTGCCACTGCTTTCATCTTTATATGTCAGCTTTTTCAGAAGCACCTTGTTCACCCATGCTGTAGACCACTCTTAGGACTGTAAGACTGTCACGGCCAGATTCTGACTCTGTCTTTCACTCTACCTTCTGTTAGTTCTAAAAGTGAAATTCCTTCTAGCAAAACCATACTTTTTTTCTACATGTGCTTTTCCTATAATTCCTTACAAATATTACTGAGGTACCCCTTGCCCAATTCATCTGAATCAGGATTTTCTTCTAGACAATGCCTGGAGCCCAAACTGGCACCAAAAATTGGAGTTCTGGTTACTGCATTTTAATTAAATTGGAGTTATTAAATTTGGTAGGTAGATATTATATAGCTTGGTCTATTTTGGAGGAAATATAAATAAAACCAGTTTGTGATATAGTACTGAATAAGTGCTGATCAGATCTGAACTTCACTGTCCAGGCCACTAACAGTTCCCTGTAACCTTTGGTAGGTGGCTTATTCATTGCACCTCATTCTGAACAGGTAGAAAAGAAATAGTATTTCCTCACCTTAAAGAGATGTTATGTTGATACATTCAGCAGCTACATATAAACATTACATGTATACATACTGAACCACTATATATTTAGGAAATGGATTATTACCACAGAAGTGCTGATGCATTCCCCAAAACAGCAAAGCACTTCTAGTAAAGGACAGGCTCTCAGCTGTTTCTAGCAATTCCCATGGTAAAATCCTACTTTTCTTCACTATCTTCAGCAGCAACCCTGGTGGAAGCAGAATTCTCATATTACAATGAGAGGAGGAAATTCTCTTTTGAGACGACCAGGGCGAAGAGCAGAAGAATAATATACATCGGATCCTCCCTTCCCCTCTGTTTACTGACAGAAAGTAAGAAATAAGAGCCTGTAATTACTTTTGAATTCACATTCCCTCTGTGACCAGGCTCATTCATAGACATGCTATTTTCTCTCATTCAGAAAACAAAATAAAGCTTCTTCTCTCAAAACACATATTTCTGACCAGAGCAGGGCAGATCAGTAATTCTCAGAGCTTTATACAGCATAGCTCATGCTTGTCTATGCATTAAGGAGCCTCTTTTCTGACTCTAATAGGCTCTGGCTCTTACTCTGTGTCCAAACCCTTGAGTCGTGGAACACAATGCCTCATTTCAGTCCATGGGAAAACAGGGAGTGGATCCTTTCGAAACATATTTCTGGACATGTGAAGGAGAAGGAGGTAACGTGACAACACAGTTAGCATGGTCTTACCAAAGACCTGAACATCAGGAAATCTTTTCTAAGAGCCCTGCATCACACAGTAGCATTGTACCTCCCATTCCAGTTGCTGTTCAACAGTTCTTATAGCTAAATAGATCAAATGTTGTAGTCACTCACTTTTTGCTTTCAGTGAGTTGAGCAGCTAAGTACGGACTTCTCCTTTTCAGTTTTAAACAGCTTGATGGTAATTTTTTCCATTTAAACGATTTAAATTGCTATTAACAAAACAGCCCTAGTACAAAACCAAGTAAAACTAGAAACATGGAAATAAGTGTGCTAGAATAAAACTTGACTACAGTTCTCATTGGGGTTTTTTCAATTCGAGAAAGTATTTTCCATATTAATAAATTCTCAGTTTTATAAAACCTGTCACTTTGCATATCCATTGTGTAAGAAGATTTGGCACCTTGAAGGTAAGAGCATTTATGTGTTTTACAGTGTGCTTGCTTTCAGACTGTGATGCAAAAGCTACTTCCAGGGGAACTAAAAAAGACAAATTCCATTTCAGCTTCAATAAAAACTCAAAAATATTCTGAAATCTTCATTTAACAATGTATCCTCCATACCCACTAACAAAATTAGAGACTCATAAAGGGCCTAGAAAAGGCATAAAAAGATCTTCTAGTCCACATGCTCCTTCAATGTAACACTGACTGTATACAGACTTGCAGAAACAGGTTATCCATTATCTTATTTGGATGTCCCATTTTTTCACTTGAAATTTTTTTCTGGGCATTTGTTGGCAAAAGGGTCACTATCATCCAGCATCTACACCAAAAGACAAAACACATGAGCAGTAGAGGCACTGCATCTCATAAGCCTGTATTCATTGCTTCTGTAGAGCTGATCTTCATATGTCCAGCTTCCAATCACAAAATCCTTAAGACAGAATGATAGGGAGTCTAAGATCTGACTTTTCACATGGATTCACCAAGGGAAAGTCATGCTTGACCACACTCATAGGAAAGTTCAAGTAGTGTGGGCTAGATGAGTGGACAGTGAGGTGGATTGAGAACTGGCAGAGATCAGAGGGTTATGGTCATCAGTGCAGAATCTAGTTGGAGGCCTGTAGCTAGAGTGTTCCCCAGGGGTCAGTAGTGGGTGCAGTCTTGTTCACCTTATTCATTAGTGACCTGGATGAAGGGCTAGATTATACTCTCAGCCAGTCTGCTTACAATACAAAACTGGGGGGAGTTTGGCTTTGGTTGATACACTTGAAGGCTGTGCTGCCATTCAGCAGGACCTCAGGCTGGAGAATTGGGTGGCGAGGAACCTAATGAAGTTCAACAAAAGCAAGTGTAGGGTCCTGCACCTAGGCAGGAGTAACCCCACGCATCAGTACAGGCTGGGGGCTGACCTGCTGGAAGGCAACTTTCCAGAGAAGGACCTAGGAGTCCTGGTGGACGACAAATTAAGCATGAGCCAGTAATGCACCCTTGTGGCCAAGAAGGCCAATGGTATCCTGGGCTGCATTAGGACATGTGTGGCCACCAGGTAGAGGGAGGTGTTCCTCCCTCTCTACTCAGCCCTGGTGAAGATGCATCTGGAGTACTGTGTCCAGTTCTGGGCTCCCCACTTTAGAAAAGACAAGGAATTACTGGACAGGGTCCAGTGGACAGCTACAAAGATGATTATGGACTGAAGCATCTCTCTTATGAGGAAAGGCTGAGAGAGAGCTGCGCCTGTTTAGCCTGGAGAAGGGATGACTGAGAGGGGATCTTATCGGTGCATACAAGTATCATAAGTAAGGGTGTCAAGAGGATAGGGACAGTTTCTTTTCAGTGAGGCCCAGCAATAGGATTAGGGGTCATCCTTAGACTAATCCCATATGACATTTGCCTAAGAAGTTCTTAAAGCCGCCAGTTGCAGAGATCCTCTACTACTAAAATGTTTTCCCTGATATAAACCTCGCTTGTTGCACTTTAAACCCATAAAGTGCCTTTGTATGACAATGACACTGATGTAAAACACCACTAAATGAACTCAAAACTCAAAGGCTGTTCTTAATTCACAGTACTTTGCAAAGAGAAAAACATGGAGAACAGCAATCACTTAATAGGACGATTGTCATTGCTCTTCACATGGCACATCCCAAACTTCTTTTGTTCAAATCACACTAACTTTTCATCAGGAGAATATATTATGAAGACACAGTTATTAAACGAGTCATAAGGTTGTTCTGCTCTTTGACCAAACTAGTAAATTTGCATCTAGGAGTATTTTGAAACAGAACAAAGATGGAGAACTGCAAATGTTTTTCCACAGAGGATATTGGTTATGCAAGTCTTGTATCCTGCTATGTACTAAGATTAGGCTTAGCATACAGCACGTAAAGATATGATACGATTATGCTGTGTGAAACCTCTCCATGAAGTACCATTGTCAAGAGCATTTACGAGCAAGAAGCTCTACTCTCCTCTGGGATGTGGATTGAGTGTCCTATTTATTTCACTGGCATTTCACATAAAAGTGGAAAGCATGGAAAATATCTTTTAAAAATAGATGTGGTTAATCAGATTTCTTCTTGCATTTCCTGGTGATGTTTCTTTGGTATCTACTTTCTTCTGCTTAAAATACTTTTATTCTCATAATTGCTTACTTGTGTTCAATACAGGTACTATAAGCTTTTGAGATTTATCCAATTTCTAAGCATTAAGTACTTAAGGAACATCTGCAGTTGCTGTCTTTTCCCTGTGATAAGAGCTGGAGGACTTTGGCAGATAAGCCCTAGAAGATCTTGCCCATCCTGTCTCCTATGCTCTAACAGCCGCAGAAGGGAAGATGCACCCACTGTCCAACCTTTCAGATTAAGCAGATAACAATAGAAAGGCTGAGTTTAGACCACACCACTAGGAGCTTCAATGATTGAGGCACAAACATGCATGTTTTCAGACCAGTAATTTGGAATAGAAAGGCAGGGCAGGTGCTCCTTAGTTCTAAACCCACCAAAACTTCTGTGCCAGAGCATCCTGTTCTCTTTCCACACTTGTGCTGGAAACTGAGTTACCTTAGAACTTTCTCCACACACAGGAGGTCATCGAAAACAAGCTAAAATCATTAAAAATATATTAATCAGATCATAGCTGTTTGATGAAAATTTTAGATCTACAGGATGATCTTTCATCTTCTTTCAAATTAGCTAGGCTTCAAAGAAAATTCCAAGAAGAATAATTCTATCTATTTGTTACAGTGCTTTTCTTGATAAGAAATGAAAAGCACTTTAGTTGGAATAATTTAAGAAAAAACTATTAGTCAAAAATCTCATTTGCACAAAGATACTGTGAGCTTATTAACTGGCTCCAGACAGTAGTTAGAGGAGCTGACCACAAGACCTGGATGAGAGAAAGATGACAACAAAGTCAAAGCACCCACATCAAAAGTAATTTCTGCGTCATCTGAACTTACCACTCTCACTTCTTCCAACCAGATTCCTGATACAGCCTTATACT